AAAAAAAAAAAAAAAAAAAAAGAAAAGAAAAAATAATTCTTATTTCTCTAAGACTGACCAAAACAGGTTGAACAAAACAACCATAAGTACTGACAATTGCTTTGTAATTGTATGTTGTACTGTATTAGAATGGAAGCTAGAGAAAGTTCTGAAAAAGCTGAACTCAACAACGTCAGAATTTTAGCAAAAACTAACTGGGACAACCAGCTTGGAGAACTGGCTTTGAGATGGAACACACAGGGCAAGGATATAGGGACTTCTCTTGATGGAGGAACATTGCCACTTCCCAAGGCAAGTATTAGCAGAACTAATTTAATGGCTGCATAACTTATCTTGAAGAAAGAATGCACACGGGGCTTCCCTGGTGGTGCAGTGGTTGAGAGTCCACCTGCCAATGCAGGGGTCACGGATTCGAGCCCTGGTCCGGGAGGATTCCACATGCTGCGGAGCGACTGGGCCCGTGCGCCACAGCTACTGAGCTTGTGCTCCGGAGCCCATGAGCCACAACTACTGAAGCCCCCGCACCTAGAGCCCGTGCAATGGGAAAAGCCACTGCAATGAGAAGGCCGCGCATCGCAGCGAAGAGTAGTCCCCGCTCGCCGCAGCTGGAGAAAGCCCGCGCACAGCAACGAAGACCCAACGCAGCCAAAAATAAATAAATAAAATAAAAATTTTTTTAAAAAAAGAAAAAAAGAATGCACAACTCAAGGAGTGCCAGTGACTTTGCTCTCCATTTCCCTCAATCAATATACTCTGGGTTTACCTTGAAATGGGAGACTCCAATCTTCTGTACTCTTGGTTGGCTTCTCACAGTGTGAGCACCTTGCTGCCCTGAGTATAATTCTGGTGTTTAAAGATACATTTTTTTTTTTTGGTACAGTATGACCTATAAATACAAGCCATAGTATTTAGGCTTAAAGTATAGACACTTTCCTAAGCCTTTTTTTTTTTCAGTTCAATTTCTTCTAAAATTATTATCATGAAATGTTTCAGGAATATTAAAATATATGCTATTTAAATAGTTTTTCCTCCTTTTTCATTTAGTTGCACAACCAAATGTAAATACAGTGTGATTCCACATTACATGCATTTATTGAGTACCTATATATATATTTTTTTGGCCGCACCATATGGCACGTGGGATCCTAGTTCCCCGACCAGGGATCCAACTCATGCCCCCTGCAGGGGAAGTGCAGAGTCTTAACCACTGGACCGCCAGGGAAGTCCCTTGAGTACCTATTAAGTACATATTTTTTCGTATAGTCTTCTTCATCATCACCTTGGAGGTAGCTGTTATTGTCTCCAGCTTACAGATAAGGAAACTAAGGCTCAGAGAAATTCAAACTTATCCAGCTTTTAAATGACAGAGCTGAATTTGGGCCCAAGCCTGCTTGAATTTAAAGCCTGAGCTCTTTTCTTCATATTAAGATGTTAATGAGTGAACCAAGAACCATTAGAAAACAAAAAGATAGCATTTAAGTGAAATCTTGATAATTTTATAAACGAGACTAAGCAGTCTCTCTTCGGAAAAAACAAGTGCTAAACTAAGGGACCAACTTTTAGAATAACCTATGAAACTGGATAAAAGAAAAATGTGTATCAGATCAACTTATTGTAACAATACAGTAAGGAAAATAATCTGAGTTATACAGTACTTAAAAGATGGTAAGCAGAGGGCGCAGAGACCATGTCCATCTCAGTCCATTTTTTTGCAAACATCTGGCCTAGCACACTGCTTGGCACACAGTGCATGTACACTCAGTAAATATATTTGAATGAACGAATCAGGATCTAGTTCAATGGTAGCCACTTCCTTAGAGAGAAATGACCTAAGGTATACAATAATGATGATAATAGGCAATGAGTCCTAATGCATCATTAGGAACAGTATTACAAAGGCAACAGTCATTCACTTATTAATCCATTTACAAACCATTTCCATCCCTGGCCTTTGGTTAGATTGGGACTGCCCATGTGGTACACGTACCAGGAAGCCCAGCCACAGACACCAGCCCTCTGACTTCACTGTGCAGTCAGGCAGCCCTACTGCTCACTTGTTCTGACCTGTTGTGGTCCTTTCTCCTTCCTCCACCTCAGATACCCAACTCTCCTCGATGTCATACCACAGAGTAACGTCCCACAGGGATCCCTTACCTGTGTGACTCACTGGGACATGCTTCTTTGGCTTTTACTCTCAGCATCTCCCTAAGACCTCCACTCACCCATAACTGAAAGTTTTTCCGGCCCATACTGGCCACATCAGCTCTACCTGGCCTTCTATCCGGGAGAAGAAGGGACATATGATCTCACTGTGCTGGGATCTATAAGGAGATTCATCATAAGTCTACACTGCAAAACAGCTCTCCTCATTCACTAACTTGTATTTCAACTTTTGAAATACTTATGCCCCGACATTTATATTTACACACAAATGAATTCACCACACCACTGGGTGGATTTCTCTCCAAAATTACCAAGTCAAAGTTGTACAAGAACAAGCTTATACTTTGGGAGAACTTCTCTCAATAGAAAGAAGGAATTTTAGGAACTGATTGTATCAGAAACCTCTTATGTGCTGTGTTAGTTTGCTAGGGCCACCATAACATAGTACCCCAGGCTCGGTGGCTTAAATAACAGAAATTTATTTTCCCACAGTTCTGGAGCTAGAAGTCAAAGACCAAGGTGTCGGCAGGTTTGGCTTCTCCTGAGGCCTCCCTCCTTGGTTTGCAGATGGCTGCCGTCTCACTGTATACTCACATGGCCTTTCCTCTGTGCACACGTATCCCTGGTGTCTCTTTGTGTGTCCAAATTTCCAATTATAAGGACATCAGTCAGATTGGATTAGGCCCACCCTAATAGCCTCATTTTAACTTAGTTATGTTTTGAGAGGCCCTATCTCCAAATATAGTCATAGCCTGCAGTACTGGGAGATCAGGACTTCAACATATTAATTCGGTGGAGGGGGGAAATGATTCAATCCATAACACACGCCCCCTCAGATTCTTTCCACTCAATCTGCCTCTCACACTCGCAGCCTCCACTGTGGAAGGCCAATTCCATGCACACAGCTCCTGCTGGTATCTGGCTTCTTCTGCCATTTCTGCACTCAGACAATAAGTAGCTGCAAAGCATGGAATCTGGCTTCCTGAGTGACTGTTAGGGGGATTGGATGGTGTAAGCCAAAAACGTGGAGTTTTGAATTCCATAGGAGGCAAGCTTAGATGAATGGGGATGTGGGAGACTGCAGGGCACCAGGCAATTAAATTCCCTTTCCTCCCGCCCTTGGGTGGATGACTCTGGGGCACAGTTTCTCCACCCAGCCTGTCCTGAGATGTCCAGTGGTTGAGCAGATGTACTTGCTGAGTGACCTGCTGGGTCTCCTGTGGCTTTGTCAAGAAGCAATGACCAGCGTGGTTACATATCACCTTGCACTGCTTCCCATCCTTCCCTGTTTAACTTCCCTCTTTCTTCACTCTTGCTACCATGGCTTTGCACTTCCCCAAATCATCATCTCTTAATCCTTGTCTCAGGCTCTATTTTCTAGGGAACCCAGGAGAGAACACTGGCATACGTGCCAGCTGGAAAATGAGACTGAAAAAGCAAAAACAAAAACAAAAAAACAACCCTGTTAATTAAAGACAAACATTGACAAGGAATCTTGGGGCTGATGCAGAGCTGAATACCATGTAATCAATAACATGCTCCTGCATGATATACATCATGTTCAGAGGACTCATCACTCTTTATGAAATAGGAG